TGGTTTTAAATTATACCATTAACAAGGAACTTAACGCTATTAAAGAATGGGTTACAGTAAACCATCTATAATTAAACACTGTGAAAACTCAAGCTCTTGTCACTTATAAGTACGAACTTTGGCTAGCGAAACTCCTGTGGAAATAAAAGACTCTCTAAAGTTACTAGGAGTCATCATGGACTCGAACCTGACCTTTCAGGAGCGTTTAAAAACCCAGCTTAATAAGGCATATGCTAAGACAAACGCTTTACGTAGAATTAGACGTTCATTCCAGTGCATTTAATGATTCAGTTATATAAGGCTTTTATTCTTCCTCATCTTGAGTATTGTGGCTCAATAATTATTGGAATAACTAAATCTTTATCTGATAAATTAGAAGATGCAAATTACTTTATTCTTAGAACGTCATTAGGTTTACCTAAGTCCACTTCGCATGATAGTATTCATAGATTAATTAACATTCGTACACTAGAACAAAGGAGGTTTTTTCATGTTTTGATCCTACTTTTTACAAGTTTAAGTGGGAAGGGTCTTAGTTAGATTAAAGATTTCTTTAAACTTCGTACAGTCAACTATAATCTTAGAGGCTCAGGCACAAAGCTTGAGCAAATTATTTTAATAGCGAGTGGCGCCTTAATTCTTTTGCATTCATAGCCAGCCACCTTTGGAATACTTCACCATGCAATGCTAGAATTGCTGGTAATGTGAATACTTTTAGAAATATAATAGACAAATTAAACCTTGTACCATTTATTTATCGTTAAGCACCGTAATAGGAATTTGTTACTGTGCCCTGCACATAATTATTTATAGTCTTTTACACTTATGTAATTTTCATTATTTTCAGTATTTTGTAATTGCACGAGCGCATTGTAAATGAGTATGTTGAATGTTTTTAGGCGTTATGTGGATAAATAAACTATCTATCTATCTATCAATCAAAGGTTTTCTGCAAGGAACTGTGATACAACGTTCTCTATTTAACTCTTTTTCGACTCTTCTGTCGAGAGTTTTTTCAAATGCCCGATAATCTGTACGGCACAACGTTAACGTGTTTCTTCGTTGGAAGTGCCTACAAAGTGCGAACGGCTAACTTTGTTCAATGTCAACGTCAAATGAGTGAGTGAATGAATTTTATCAATGCGATCGGAATCAACTCAAGGATCTTTTCAATGATAAGTATCCAAATTTTGGTGTTTTGTGGCGTTTTCATGGAAGGTGCCAAGTGGATCACTCGGTGCAGACTGAACAAGATCAAAGACAGTTAGAAATTGAGCGGATGTATGTTAACGCAAAAAAAGAAGGACATGGGATCAATTCGGAGCTGAACCTACTTTTTTAAGCTTTTTGTGGAAGACAAGCGGCAAACAGAAAAAGACGAGCAAAACGAAGGTAACTCGAGTATGTTTTTTTGAAATCTTGAAATACTGCCTGGTTCGTACTCGCCGCCATTTTGCTTGCGAACATCTTTAAAGAACGTTAATTAACTTGCCAAGGAGTTTGTCGATAGCAGGAGCTGGTATGTTCATAAGATTAAAATTTCCATCGACCTGTTGTTCGTAAAACAGCATTTTGTGTTTCTCAGCGATGAAATCATATAGTTCTCAACTCGAGTTGCCTTCGTCGTGCTCGTCTTTCTCTCTTTCGTCGCTTATCTTCGTCCAAAATCTCTAAAAAACCAACTCGAAAGACTGAGATATCTGTTTCTGAGTTTTCTTCCTTTACTTCGTCTGCGCACTTTTCCTTCAAACGTTTTCAAATTTTACGTCAAGAGACATTTTGTGATCAAAATAGAATTTTGAATTTAATAGGCCGTACAGTGAAATACGCCGGCCAAACAGACGAATCATAGCGCACGTACTAACTGAGAGATATAAGATATAATAAAGACATTGATTTAAAAGGTTAAACAAGTAATTTTAAAGAACGATTTATTGGCATTATTGTCAACTGGATATGGAAAATCGTTGCTTTTACAGGTTTTGCACCGGTCGGTTCTGAGGCAAAGG